TCAAGTCACGTTTTGACTGTGCCATTTAGTACTGAAGGTAGCTTGTGGCAGTTCTGTGCTGCTTCCAAAAATTTTCACTCTCATGCTGCATTTGTAAATAAAGAAGCTTGGACATTTCAGGCCCTGTGAGACCCAAAGCTTGGGACTTTAAAGCGAGTCCCCAGACTTCAGTTACCAGTTTGCATGCAAAGAGAGCCCTTGAGGATGTAAATCTATTGCCTCATTCAAAAGAGCAAGTGGCTGAGCTCAGGTGGGTGGGAACACGTGGCAGGTTTTGTACTTCATTTCTGTATCAAACATTTACATCAAATGAAATTATTGCAGTCAGGATACAGCTTGAGGAATCTTCTGTCTAAGCTGCCACAAATTGTCAAGCTACTGTATGCAGGGTGGTGTCATAGCATGAAACAATGACTAAACCTCACCTGTCAGAAAGGAAAGGCAGGGCGGGAACCCTTTGTCATGGTAATTTTCTGTAGTCACTGCTGAAGGCAGAGCTTCTCTGCGAGGAGTGGGTCTTTCCAACTGGCTAAGGGCTCCTACAGTAAAGCTCCTGAAGGCAGATGATGTAGATCAGAATTCACCTTCCTACACATCCTCACAGATGCTCTCACCTTCTTAAGTATGAAGGGCTACTCCCCACTGTACCATCCTGCTGAGCATTTGGCTGTGTTACCCTGGCCGTGTCACTATGCAGTAACATTTTTGGGGAGAGTAGGGTGCTGTAAATCTGGCAGGCACACACAACCAAGGGATGTGAAGCAGTCTTCTTTGTGGGAGTTAAGTGCAGCATCTTGGATAACACCAAATGTGATTCACAAGGAATGAAATTTTAACTCTTGGGTTGTTCACAGTGCAGAAAAACATTTCAAATCTGTTTGATTTTTTTTTAGGCTAGAATTACAGTTGTTGCTGCAGTGACAAGCACTGTCACTGTTGACACTGCTTTGAAACACTTAGGAAATGGGAAATAGAGTCAGTGTTCAAGGTGATGTTAAGCAGCTCTGTTTCTCACACCAGCACTGTGATGCAGACATGACTAAATTACACTGTTGTTGTGCCTCTGATGGACTACCTAACAGAACTCTGCAAATAATTTATCTTGGAGACAAAATAAGGGGGCTGACTGTAGGAGACCCAGCCTTGTCAGTGTTCTGGAAATTGCTCTTGGTCTGTGTGTTTGTTACTGCTCTTTGCAGAGCAACTAGATGATACACTTCTGACAATTTTCACTTGATTGAGGATCTTCACTATAGACAAGCTTCTAGCAGAAATGGCTGGAAGAACTAGGAGCTCGTGTTAGGAGCTAACAATAATCTGAGTGGAGATGTGTGCCGTTCTCAGGGACTGGACCCAGCATTAAAACTGGTGTAGCAGTCTAGTTGCAAGTCAAGACAAAGGAGGCCGCAGCCATGAGAGGAGACAACAGTTGTTTGGAAGAACAGCAAAGTAGGCTGGACAGTACTAAAAGAGAGCACAGATGGGAAGCATAAAAGTGGATTTGAGAAAGGAATGAATCTAGGCTGGATCTTGAAGTTAGGTGGATAGTTGCTTATGGTCTCAGTGCAGGCGCAGGCTTCAATTACTGAATGAAAGGAGATAGTACATGATTCAAACTGTCTTTGCCCAGCCATGCAGTGCATTGTCTCCGTCCATACCTCTAGGTAGAAGTGCTGAAATATTTCCTAATGTCATTCACACTCAGAGTTTCTAGCATTACTCCAGAGAGGCTATAGAGGAGTGGTACTTCCAGGATCATCATCTCTCTGCTCAGTAGTGTTCAGAGAGCTTTTGTTGGTACTTAGTTAAAAACAGGATGTAGATTTGTTTTAATTTTTATGAAGATGGTGTTAAGTGAGAGAGGGCAAGGAAGCTTGGCTTTAGATTCAAAGCTTTGAAGAATGTCAGTACCAAGAACAATGTAGTCTAGCAATTAGAGGTTCATAAATGGTTTCCCTGAAGCATTGACCCTTTCACAGGATAAGAATTATAGATCTTTGGTAGCTGTGTCAGCCTAAGAAGATATCCTCTGCTTTGGAGTGGAACTGGGTGCCATGTCTCTATAATAGAACTTCCTCACAAGGGCTGCTAATTTTGTTAGGTGTTTATTTACTGCATAATTAGGTTATATAAGGAGGTAGGCTGATTAATCCAGTGGTCAGGAAGCTGCTAACCCAGGTAGCACAAAACCAGGTGTTTCAGTACTTTCAGTACCACTGAGGGTATTACCATGAAAAATGTAATAGGTACTGTTTTTTGGGTTTGATTTCTGCCTCTAGCTATGTTTTTATTCCATGTTACATAAGTGTATCTTGTTAATCTGTAAATAAAATGAGTGTGTAATAGAAGTGAAAAATGAGTTTGCAGAAAACACGTTTTAATGAAGGCTTAAACGATGTCCTTTAATGTCTATTTTTAGCTTGGTAGCTAAAAATTTTAGCACTCCTTTCCTTTCATAACCAAAAGGCACCCCTCTCATTCTTTTTTATGCAAATTAGACCTCCTACACCATTAAATCATTTTTATTGACTATTGAGCCTGCAAAGAAATGGTCTGAACTTTAATATGCTACATTACCATACCATAAAATACAATTTGTAGATCTTATTTAGATTCTGTGTTGCTGCACTTCCTCTAAATAATTGTTATTACTGAGGAAGATTTACAGGCACCATCGAAAGAATAAGTACTCTCCATTTTGTATGCATTGAAACACTGGCTGTGCGTGATTTCACATCTAAACCCCTTTGCTCCCAGTTCTTTTCTGAAATGAAACAAGTCACATGATGCTGTTAGTTACTAATAGAGTTTTTAATATGGCAGTATCCAGAACTTCTGCTGACTTCAAACAGTGCCAGGATTTCACCCCTTCTTTTGTGCTGTTAAGTTTGTGCTAACTTTGCAAATGAAGTGTTCATCTTCAGGCAGTGATCGCCTCTTTGCACATCCCCATCCTCTTTAATGCCACATGCACAGCGTCAGCTGCTATGCAGCACTTGGCAGGAAAATGCTCTGTTCCTTGGAAGTGCAAGGAAAATACTGTCCTCCCACAAATTTTTGCATAAGGCTGTTCAAATACTCAGCTTGACAAGGTACATGGCCTTGCTTTCTGTTATTATAGATAGCTGCAGCCTCTTGGAGCCAAGGGAAGGGATGCATGCAGAGATTTTATGATTAACCAGAGAGAAATGTATATGAGTTATTCTGAAAGAGTATAACTCTTATGAAGGAACTAATATTATGCTCATGTTGACAGCCTTGGAGAATGACATTTATCTATAGCACAACCTAGGGATGGCCAAGGAATATTCGAGCAATGTCTCACCCTTCTTCTAGGAGGACCACCTCAGAAGTGGAAGGGTGTTCAGCAGTCACTTCAGTACAGAATCGTTTTTAGTGTGTCAATAGAAATGCTGTCTGTGGTCCCAGTCTCATGTCAGATAGGCAAAGAGGAGCCCTTCCATGGTCAGGCAGGACTGCCTTTGAGATGCTTTCCTGCTCACCTCTTGCCAGTAAGCTTGATGTCATCATGCCAAGTCCCCACAGTCTTCTGGGTCTCCCAGTGTTTTGAAACTGGCAGAGTTTCAAATCTATTTAAGAAAAATTGTCACACTAATTTCCCTTCTCACAGAGACTTCCTGAGAATATTTACTGCCTTTAAAAGTCAGGGCGTTTAAGGTTGTGTCTAATTTCAGAATCATTTTTTCTAAATCTGGAGCCTGAATTAGTAATTTTGAATTGGACTCTTGAACTGTCAATACTTACTGCATTACCACATCAGTTAAAAAAAAAAAAAAGAGACCACTGATTTTTTGCAGTGAGAACACATAGAACACAAACAGGTTATGGACCAAAGAGCAATGCCTGCTGCATGAAGAGAGAGAATTATTTTATATACGTACATGCATACAGGTTTGTGTGTGTGTATATATATGTGTGTGTGTATATATATCTATATATATATATCTGTCTAAAAACACAGTTTCCCTTATCAGTTATGTATAGCAGTGAAAACTGAGTATCACTTCTGACCTTTTGAAAGAATTTAATATCTAATAAATCTAGAATTAGACTATTTCACTGGAAAGAGACCTAAAACCATCATCCATTCAGTCCAACACAACAATCATCTAGTCAGACAATCATCTAGTCCAAATCCTGAGAAATGTTAAAGTTCAACCATGAGATATGTTACGAAATTTATGTTGATCATGAGAAATTATTTCATTAACAAGTTGACATTCAAGCACATGAGTATGCCTGTTTTTTTCCTAAGAAAACCACTAAGACAGTTGCTGATAGATCAAGAAAGTAAATGAGTGGTCTCTTCCAAGAGCTGTATTTCGTTTTTCTGTAATGTATGAGGAAGTAAATGGGTGAATACACAATATAAATAGGTCTATATTATAAAAGCCTTTTGATTTTGACAGTCTCTGAAAAGTTAAGAGACAGCTATCTCATGAACTTGACAAATAAGCAGAGAGAAACACTTTTACCATATTTTTAAATGTGAAAATGCTCTTTTTAAGGTAAGTTATCTAATGTCCAGCTCAGATGTATTGTATTACTCTGACATGTTTGAAGTTCTCAGTTGACAGTGATATCTTATTCTGTTCTTCCCCCCCCCGATTATTTGGAAATACATATGATGACGCCAAGTAGCTAGCAGCCTTGCTTCCTTAGGGCTTAGTTCAGCACTGTTTACATTCTCAATGGACAAATCCTTAAGGCTGTCCTCTGTCAGGACACCACTTAAAGATGTCCATGAACATCTGTATAGAGCCCTTTGCATTAGGAAAAGATCCATTCAGTGAATCCTGTCATAATAGTAAGCACTAACCATAGTAGTAAGCATTGTGCCAGATCATGGCCTCATGTTTTAATATGCTTAAGGTAGATGATTTATAATTAATACAAAGAAAAAGTCTCTGTTAGATTTCCTTTAATGGTAGGGTGTTTTTTACTTTATTTTTATGGTTTGGTGTTTTGGTTTTTTTTAGCCGAACTCTTCATGGACCAGCAGCATCTCAAAGAAGCAGGCTTTTGTATCCAGGAGGCAGCTAGTCTTTTCCCCACATCTCATGCTGTACTGTACATGCGTGGGAGGTTTGCAGAGATGAAAGGCAATTTGGAGGAGGCTAAGCAATTGTATGATGAAGCGCTCACAGTGAATCCAGCTGGAGTGGAAATTATGAACAACCTGGTGAGTTTGCAGGGGCTCAGCTCCATTATAGTATTTATGTTCCTGATTAACTGTAATAGGAGGGGAGAGGGCACATGCTTGCTCTGGATGCCATTGTCTTCCTAATCCTGAGAACAAGTGACTGTTCCAAGAATAAATTGGGTATCTTGGACCTCTATTTTAAGACTGGATTGAATGTTTTTAACTAATTAGCACTTGTGTTAAAAGTAAATATTTTAATTGACAAAGGCTGATAGTTTTGGAAGTCAATTCACTGCTTTGTCTTCGCTGCTTTTTCTACTAACTGTTATGCATTTTAAATTAGCAGTACACTGATGTTCAAAAGATCTGAACTAAATAACTCTAGAATATGGAGATATATATATATACATATATATACATATATATATGTATATGTGGGTTTTGAAAACCTTGGGCTGGTGTCTTGTGTCTGCTCAAATCAAGATAAACTATGAGTTTACAACAAAATTAATCTGTTGCTCCCTCAAGCTGCATCTTAGTTCAACCTTGCGTAGGGGCAGTGACTCCACATTTGTGGGTTTTTTTTGGTAACACTCCTACCCAGCAAGTTTTTCTTTTTTCTGCAGCACCAAGCTCAGAACAAACTGTTTTCCAGACACAGGGCCTAGAGCTTAATAACAATAGTAGTAATACAGGGAGCTTTGTGGAAGACCAAAACCCACTTCTCTTGTGAAATCAGAACAGTAAATCAAATTTCATCAATGATTTGTCTTTTTAACTGTAGCCCTTACTAGGTCTCTCTGGGATTTTAGAAGTCTGTCTTGACTAATTTATTTTTACAGGAATTCTATATCCATGTGACTGCTTAGTGTCTTTGTTAGCAGATTTGTATTTCCTGGCATAAATTTGGTTCTGATGGGGTTTGCTGGTATCTCCAAAAGTGAAGGGGTATTAGTGCACAAGAGGACAAATGTGAAGTTATAATTGAGAGAAAATAGTAGAACTTACAGGCAAGGGATGAGATATTTGGTAATAATGAATGTTTAGTACAAAAATAACAAATGAATAGCTGGTGCATATGTCAGGAGACATATGCTATACACATTTCAAGCTTAAATGGGGTAATAATATTACTTTGATGTTCTAATATAGCCTTTACAAATTCAGTCATTAAAAACCTAGCTAGATGGAATTATATTCTTTGCTCAGTGTCATGATTTCAGATAAGTCACCGATACCAGAACAGCCATCAAGTTAAATTCCAACATGGTACTAACAGCTTTAATTTTTGTCTTATTTTGTGGACACAACCACATTCTGTGTCTTCCTATTTCAGTTGCTTGAAATTTTCTGAAACTATAGTAATTTGGAATAAAAATTTCTGAGATGCAAATCTGCTCTGGCCCAGTTGACTTCAGAAAATGTCATAACTGTTACTGTAAATGAGGCTACAGAAAAGACTTTAAAGGCTTCTGTGACATCTTCTTTACTGTGCCTTAGTGTCTCCAGGTTTTGCAAGGAATGGGTAACATATTAATGCGCTTTTCACCATCCCTAAGAAAATCCTTTCCAGGTTATCCAAGTTGTAACCTTTAAAAAACACATCTTGTATGTGCTTAGTAGATACGTATTTCTGAAAGCTCTAAAGAGTCTGTGAATGCTCCTTCACCTCAAACTCCAGTAATTTTCAACAAGGGCAAGAGGGATGACTCTGGTAACTACAGGCCTGCCAGTCTCACTTCAGTGACTGGTAAAATTATAGAGATTATTCTGGGAGTTACTGAAAAACACCTGAAAGACAGTGCTGTCATTGGTCACAGCCAGGGTGGATTTGTGAAGGCACATGCCCTGGGGCCACCCTGGGTGTACGTACAGGGTGGGGGATGAGAGGCTGGAAAGCCCCTTCATAGAAAGGGACCTGGGAGTCCTGGCTGAGGGCAGGTTGAACATGAGTCAGCAGTGCCCTGGCAGCCAGGAGGGGCAACCGTGTCCTGGGGGGCATCAGGCAAAGCATCGCCAGCCGGTCAAGGAAGGGGATTGTCCCACTCTGCTCTGCACTGGGGTGGCCTCACCTTGAATTTTATGTGCAGTTTTGGGCACCACAGTATAGGAAGGTCCAGAGGAGGGCCATGAAGATGTTGAAGAATCTAGAGGAGAAGCCCTACCAGGAGCAGTTGAGGTCACTTGGCTTGTTCAGCTTAGAAGAGACTGAGGGGAGACCTCATAGCTGTCTACAGCTTCCTCATGAGGGGATGCAGAGGTAGGCACCAGGTCACCTCTGGTGACCAGTGTTATGATGTGAGGAAATGTCCTGAAGCTGTGTCAGGGGAGGCTTAAGTTGGATATTAGGAGAAGGTTTTTCACCCAGAGGATGGTTGAGCACTGGAACAGGCTCCCCGTGGAAGTGGTCACAGCACCAAGCCTGCCAGAGTTCTGGAAGTGTTTGGACAATGCTCTCAGGCACATGGTGTGATTCTTGGGGCTATCTTGTGCAGTTTTGGACCTGGAGATGGACTTTGATGATCCTTGTGGGTCCCTTCCAATTCAGAGTATTCTATGATCATGTCTTAGTCAAGGGATGGAAGTAAAATTTAGGAGAGTTGAAAAAGACAATGAGATGGGAAATTTGAGGGCAGAGACTCAGTCTGTAAGCAAGTGGGGAGGAGGAAAGATAAACTCAATAACAAAGTGAGAGAAATAAGGACAGACAGAAAATAGGGTAAGATAGGTAACACTGGATAAGACTGGATAGATAAGAAGACACATGGGTTGAGAGGTAGGCTTGTTGAAAGGGCAAATTAAAGGGGTCAATCTTATGAGAGTGGCAAAGGAGCAGGAACCTGTACTTCCTTTCCATATCCTTCAATCTCCTTAAGATTCTAATTCTTCCCATCCTGGTACCAGCAAATATCAGTGAAAATTACTTGCTTAAGCATGTGCCTCATCTCCTTTATCTTGGCCATGCTGGCAGCCTGTGGTTTACACCTGTTAGCTAAGATAGCAAAGGTCTGGTCTATCCCTGCTGATATGAATCATGGCAGTAGTTATATGATGCCACATAATGGCACTCCTTTGTATATTTTTCCAAAAGCTAGGAAATTGCACATAACAAGTTAGAAACATCTGATGAGCACTATAGAAAAGCCTGTAAAGAAATTAATCATTCTGCCTTCAGAATAGAGCTGGAATAATGTGCAGTAAACAAGGCTTTTAGGGCTATGCATCAAATGAAAAGGGCAAAAATAAAATATTGAATGGCTGCTAGCTAAGTGATTTTGTCCTGTGTACTGAATGAGACAGTGTCCCCATGGAGAACTTAAGACTGGGTTTATGCAGTTGAGGATGTAATGTAACAAGTGGTAAATTCTGAATCTCCTCAAGGCCATCAGAAGAAAACTGAATGCCTTTCTGAAATGTATGAATTAGCCAAGTACTAGCTGTACTTTTATTAAAAATACAAGTTTTTGAGCACAGTATGTTCAGTCCCCTACCAGAGGGAAATATATGTCTTGGCTTATGCAAGAGACCAAAACAGATTATCACCTAGTTCCAAGGGGTTCAGAATTATGGAAGACACATACACAGGCAGCGGGAATTAAACTCACACATGTTTTTTCAGTGCTGGGCCTCCCAAATTGAGTACATTGTTTTCCCACTATAGTAATACTGTTGTGGATATGTAATAATTTAGAGAAAGATGGTCTGGTTATGAGAATTACTATTTGACTTGGTGCCATCCAACTGACCTAGTCCACTTTAAGGAAAGACTCTGCTGCAGACAGTGCCGATCCTCCCTGGTGTATCAGCATCAATTAGCAAAGTAGTCATGTCTCTTCCCCTGGGCTCTCAGAAGTGGGTTGTCAAAGCTATATTTGGAAAGTTCCAACCTGAAGAGTGTTGCTGGCTTTAAATGAAGGGCACAGATCTAGCAATGAATGAGTCCACCGGGTGTCAGTAACTTCACCTTTACACAGAATACAGTTACCACCATAATACACACAAGCTTTCTCTGCTTAGCTGAAAATGGCTGTGTTTTACTGTGACTGTAGGGTGTTTACAATAGCTGTCAAATCAGTGTGCTTTCCTTATAAAGCTCAGTGCTGCGTGGAAGAGCAGTGCTGTTCAGCAGGAGTGCCGTGCTGAGCACATCCGATGAGGTGGGTAGCGTGCTCTGCTTCATCACATGGGCCTTTGGCACTTGGTGTCAATACTGTGGTTAGGAAACCACAGGCACTTTGAAAATACCACATAGTTGTGCTGCTTCTTATAACACTTGCAGTTTCTGAGTGATGTCACAGGATCCTTAAGCCTGTATTAGGAATCCACCATTGGCATTTACAAAGTAAATACTACTGGCTAATACCTAATTTAAGGAAGCATATTTGTTGAGGAGTTCTGTTTTCACTTGAAAAAAACATACACAGTCAGTTTTTGAGGCTATTTGGAGCATACTTATGTACCAAAGAACTCTTGGTGAGGTGTGGAACTACTCCTTTGGCTGCCAGAAACAATTAGCTTGGCCTTTAAAAATTGTACATACTGTGAGACCACAGTTTTCTTTCATAAATACAATTGCTAAGGTTCTTTTTCCACATTTCTTCTGATTCTGTCTCATACATTTCTATTAGAACAGCCCTGTTTTTTCCTTCTTCCATTTCACAGGCTCCTTCTGGGGCCTGCTTGCAAGGATCATTGAGCACTTCTTTCCCCCAGGGAGGCTGATGGAGTTTCTACTGAGCAGGTGTCTTTGCTGGTCTAGAAACAAGAGCTTAGTCCATATCCCCTTGTCTTACACTGTGACCTCTGACAGCACATTTCTACAACCAGTAACTATGGCTTACATTTTGCAGTATGTACCAAATTTTGTTTATATAACATCATACTATACACAGCTTTGGGACAGTGATAATAAAACTGACGTGCCCAACAAAATCAGAAAATATAATACAAGCTGGGGCAGATGACACCTCCTTGTAAAGTGATACACAAATCCACCTACCTGTACGTAACTAGAGAATGACATTGAAATTTGCTAGTTC